CCTACAGGGAGGCCCGCCGCTTCGCGCACCCTTCGCGGTGGGCCGGGCCCAGAGTGCTGGTGAGACGGAGCCCGGGGTGTGCTCCTCCCGCGGCGGGGCCGGGACGGCGAGTCCCAGGTCGGGCGTCGGAGCCGCGGCGGCCTCGGCAGGTGAACGCGGCCCGGGGAGGGGGCGTGGCCCGGAGAGGTACCCCGAGGAGGCCGGAAGTGGGGGCCGCAGCCTCGGCCGGGCTCCTGGGGAAATGGCCTCAGGGAAGGGAGTGCAGAAAGCTGTGTCTTGTTTCAGGGTTCGTGAGCCCTGCGGTGGTTTTCCGCTTGTAGCCTTTGTTGGGTCTCCCACCCCCCCAAGAGTTTAAATGTTATTTTAGATGTATCTGTTTTTGCAAACCTTGCTTGTTTGGCATCGTTTTCTAGAGTTTTTTAACCAAATTATTAATTTTTAAAAAATTTTGTCCTCTTGCTAAATTACTCCCTTTTCTCCTTTTAAAAGTTCATTTCTAGCCAGTGACGCTATGCCTTCTGAGTCTTGTATTTTTCGGGAGTGGGGAAGGGAAGGTGGTAGGTAGTGGTTCCTTTTGCATTTGCTGTGGTAACTCTTCTTCATAAAGGAAGCACAGCCTCCAAAAGGAAGAAAAGAGAGGAATTTTTGCTTAGCTATTTACGAAAAGGACACCAAGTTCTTAAAATGACATTTGAAGAGTTAGTATAATTGTCGAAAGAAACCTTCAAAGCCTTAAGAATTTATTTGAGCCAAGATTTTGAGCACGAGCCTGGAAGCAAGATCTCAGTGGATTGGGAAAATGCTCTGGAGAACGGCAGTCTTACAACTCTTTTTATATATTTAGAATCAAAGGAGAAAAATGTAAGGAAGATTTACTAGATTGAGGTGGGCGAAAGCAAAGTGGGGAAATCTCTAGGACTGGATGAAAAGCGAATGGAGAGAGACATACTGCTTTTACACTGGTGGGTGCAGGATAGTTAACATTTAATAACTGGATGGAAGGGAGATGGTATGTGGGCAACCAGGTAACAAAAGGGAGTTTCTGTGTTGTACTTTGCTACTTGGGTAACAAAAGGGAGTTTCCGTGTTGTACTTTGCTACTTTGGGTCTTTTTGAAGGATCTGGAAGCAAAAATTATTCTGACATGCCAAAGACATGTTCTAGATACACAAGAACAATAGGGCTCGCTTAAGGTAAAGATTAACCTTTTATGAAGGAAGCCGTAGGTCTGGGACATGACTACTCACCATGACCTACCCAGTTAGGAGTTAAGGTTCTGACTATGCTGTGTGGTTACTTTTGGTCACTGGGCTTGTCAGGCCGTGTAGCCTTCTTTGTATTTTCATAGTTTTAATTGTTATAGCTCAAAATATCAAAGTGCAGATGTGTGGAATACTTATTTTTCATTAATTTAACTTTGTGAGCCCGATGTGACTGCCCTTTACTCTGTTAATGCTCTTCAGATAGTACTAATCCCTTAGTTTGATTCATCTTTAGTCATAAACCACTGGCTGAAAGAGCAGGCCCAGTGACTAGAAGTATGCTTGCTGCCCACTCCTGGTTGTGGTGACCAAACTTAGGGACCCTCTAACTTGAGGTAGCCTGGGCTATGACAGGTTCCCTCTGCAGGGTGCTCAGTGTGGAGTTTGTAACCTTGTCGGGCCTAATGAGGGTGGGAGAGCTGACAAGATGGAGAGATGTCACAGCTTCTTTCTTTATTTCAGGTGCCTTCTCCAAGAGGGGTAGTGGGTAAGGAGAAATGGCCACAAAGTTGCTACCAGCCCAGGCTCAGGTGAGTGCAAGTTCTTGTACACCTTCTGGGTTCAGAGATTCAAGAACCTGCTTTATTCATTGTTGAGCTTATCTAGGCTGTAAGTCTAAGGAGGGGTCAGAGGGCCTGGCTGGTGTTTTTCTTGCCTGAGGGCCAGTCTCATTATGAATTCTGCACTTAACAGTTAAGTACTTGTTTACTAGGAATTGAATGGGCCATCAATCTTGAGCCACTGTCACACCTAGAGCTTTGTGAGGGATCCAGGGTGTTTTTGCTCTTTGGAGGGCAAAGACATGGGAAAGTCAAATAATTCCTTCACAACACTAGGAATTACAGAGGAAAGGTATGACATTTGCCTTTCCAGTCAACTGCAGCAGTACCTGGTAAAGGTCCAGTGATTTTTAGGAAGATCCAGGAAAGAAGACGTATGAGTCAGTTGGTATGGTCAGGGATACTACTCAGTATTGGGTGATTTTGGACTGACAAGCAGTACTGGGCTCATTTAAATGATGAAAGGAAAAGAGGTCACAACTCTGGCAGTTTTGGGGAAGTGAGCAAGTCTTCCCCAAAGGAGGGAAGCATCTGGTCCACAGTGATTTCTTCCCTTCTTTGCCCATCCTGGCACTTGGGGAAATAGAATTAAAAACATAAATTCTTCCCAACCCAGAAAACCTCTCTAACAAAAGTAGAAGAGAAAGAAAACACTCTTACTGAGTAAGTGTTAAGCCAGAATATGGTGTGCATCACAGGCAATCCACTAAAGAGACTGCAGAGATAGAAAGCTCCTCTTACGTAGATGAGTGTAGATTCAACCCAGTTTTGCAGTTTGGCAAATTTGTTAGGTGACAAGTTAGCCCATCTCCTCCCAGGAAACTGGGAGCTTGGTACATTCAGAGAGATGGCTACCAGGTCCTTGAGGAACCTTTCCTGAATTGTGAGGCTTATTTAGCCATTAAAAAGATTTACATATAATTGGAAAGGACTGAGAAAGAAATTCTGGAAGGAAACGGGGCGGGGGAGCTGGAGGCTCCTCCTTCATTTCCAGACAGCCTCTTACTTTTAATTTGTGTTTGCAGTTACAGGTCAGAATATTCCTGGCCTTGTGACCTCCTTCCTTGGTTTTGGGCGACAGTAAAGAGAAAGCAAACTGTGACCTAACACTTATTCCTTTGGAAATGTGTCTGAAGGAAATAAACTTTGCACACTTTACTGGTGATGTGCAGGTATGCTCAAGCCAGCAATTCTAGCGTTACTAAAGTGGAAATAACCTGAATACCCACCAGTAGATTAGTTATGTGAACTGATTGATCTATACATTAAAATGATGGACAGCAAATAAAACATGTTTAGTGGGATACAGATACCTGTATAATATCTCATTTTTTAAAAAAATATAAAGCCATAGTAGCGTGTAAGAAGTCTGAAAGGATATACAAGAAGAAACTTTTTTCTGGTGGTAGAAAGTTAGATTAACATTTTCCCCCTGCCTATTGATCTTTTCTAAATTGCTTTAAAAAAAGATTCTTAATAATAAAAGGGACCACTAATTTTAAAAAGGTGAGTGGTCCAGTGAAGCCAGAGAGAGGTAGACAGAAGCCTCCTTGGTGGACAGGGAGGATTCCAACCGCAGTCTTGTCACTGGGCCCTTATTGAAAGGTTAATACGGCCCACTACCCTGGGCCCTCTCCTAACAAAGCCATGCTTGGGGGATTTTCAGAGCCTTCCCTTGCCCAGGACACAGAGATAGCCCAAGGTGGTGACAGTCCAGCCACATCTGTACAATGAGAGTTTGGTCTTGATAATTGTATATTTCCATATCTGAAGCACTGTGTTTCCATCATTCTGGTTTTGTTTAATGATTTCAAATGCTCATTATGTTTGGTTGCTGTGCTTTGACTTCTGAGGGCACAATGCTTCATTCACAGTAGGTACGTGATAAATATGTGCTCAGTAACTGAGGGGTGGTCAGGAAGTATTTGGCTTGAAATACTTAGGACTCTAAGTGGTGACAGGGTTGCTGCTCAGTCATCCTCTTGTGGGGATGGGCCTGGGTGAGCAGAAATGGGTTTGCATTACAGGAGTCTGTGACATTCAGCGATGTGGCCGTGCTCTTCAGCCAGGATGAGTGGCTATGCCTGGATTCTGTGCAGAGAACCTTGTACCGGGAGGTGATGCTAGAGAACTACAACACCCTGGTCTCTTTGGGTAAGGACCTTGTCATGTGATGCAGAATCTGCTGGGGAGAGCATCTTGGTGCTCTCGTATCTTAGTGCTCTCTCCAAGGCCGACATTTAGTGCTTGTCCAGGTTCAGCCCACCACTGTAGTAGGTGGGCTTTGAGAGTGGTAGTTGCTATTCCCCTCAGCTACTGGGAAGGTTTCAGCTTGATAGAGTTAGTGATGGACATCACCAACTTTTGTGCTTTTCCTATTTCCTACCCCCGGAACTCTGTTCCCCTGCATCTCATAGGAGGTTCCAGCTTAAAGGAGTGCACAGCCAGAACTCTAACTTTTACCACCTCTTGGCCATCCTCTGGGAGCTCAGTTTTAAGCCCCTCTCAGAACAAACCTCTCTCTTTCCTTGGATTATTCCTCTGGCCTATAGACCCTGGGGCTGTATCTGTGTGCCAGGATGGCAGCTCATGTCTGTACTATGGACTCATTCTCTTTTTCTTGCTCACAAACAGGAATTATGTTTTCCAAACCAAAAGTTATCTTCCAGTTACAGCAAGGGGAAGACCCGTGGATGGTGGAAAATGGAATTTCTCTTGGTGCATGTCTAGGTGAGTGATAGTCATTGGGGAATGGCATAGCTTATCTTACTGCTGCTTGTTAGCAGTGAGGCCACTCTCAGCTGACATTGATCAGGGCCCTTGCTGATGTGTCAGGGAAATGCTGGAAAGATACATCTTCACACTCTTACCATTTTGAGTACTTGATATAGCAGGTTCAGAGGGAGAGTTGGATTTTCCCAATATGGGTTGCACTTTTTTAATATGCCCCTTATAATTTGAATGCAAAATATATAATGCAATAAATAGTGTATAAAGGTTTGTGATTCATATCTTCCCCTTTTTTCCTTGTTTTCATTGGATTAATTATTTTCTTAAATTATTTTGCTTTGTGGTTTGCACATTCCTTTTAACACTAAATACATCCCTTATTGTTCCATGTTGGTTTTTTGCTTTAACTTTTTTTGTCTGCAACTTATTGCACATGATTCAGCTAAAAAGGAAAAGCAGATGTACTTGTATTTATGTACAAGCAGGGAGAAAGCAGGGGTAGCAAAATTGTAAGTTATCAAATATAGGCAGAATGTTTGCAGATATTCATCATGCTTTTCTCCTAAATTTTTTATGTGAAAATTTTCAAGATAATATGTTCCAGACCCTGACGACCAGGATATAGCTCTCAATCTCTAAAACCTCTTGGATTGCTGGTTCATAAGCTCTCGCTCTCTGTTCTACTTTGAATTTTATCTTTGTTTCTGGCACCAGAGGATGATTCTCTTTTGAGTTTTGCTGCTTATCCAGCATTTATTTCTCTTGATGGCAGGAGACAGGCTTTCTGTGTCCATTTAGTCTCGTGCTTCCTTTCATGAACTCTGTCTTCAGATTTTCCACTTTGGTTTGACTAGAATATGTTCTTAAATAATGTTTTCAGAAAGGTTCATGTGCACTATAGTTGTGCATGTCTAAAATAATTTTACCTCTCCTGTGGGAATTATGTTTTGAATCTAGAATTCTGGCTTTTTTCTCCCCCTCTGAATTGTCCAAATTTTGCTCCAGTGTCTTTGGATTCTGAGTGTTGCTAAAAAATCTTCTGTTAGCGTCACTATGCTTCCTCTATTTCCTGTATAGAAAACCTGTGTTTTTTTTGTCTTCTGTCTGAAATTATAGAATATCTTCTTTATCTGTGGAATTCAGAAAATTCATTAGGTTGTATCAGGGAGTTTATTTTTTTAATATTGTTGTTTGGCACTCATTCGCCCTTTACTTTCAAGAACCAAGTCTTTTTCATTTCAGGGATCTTTTTTTCTATTACATATTTACACACACACTGCCACATTCCATTAACAATTCAAGGAACCTGATGCAAGAATAATGATATAATAAAACAGAAATTCATTCAGAGCTCTAGAAAATAAATATATCTGTTGTAAGGACCAGAATGGGTAGCCAGAATGAGTTTCAGACTTGGCTCTGAGCTTTCTGATTGTCAAAGAAATCATTAGTATCAAATGAACTCTAATTCATTAATAAGCACTCAAAAATTATTTTTATTTGTACAAGGTATAAATAGTATTATAAAAAAAAAGAGCTAAAAAAAGAGACTCACCTGAAATTTTACCAACCATGATGAACCTTTGGTGGTATTTTACTGTTTATCCTTTCAGACTGTGAGTATTGTTTGAGTGTGTTTGTACATGAGAGAGACAGACACACACACAGAAGGAGAGAAATAGAGAGATTAATTATATATATTGCTCTTGAGCCTGTTTTTAATTGTGAATGTTCTTCAGTTATTCAACCCTCATTAAATAAACGCCTACCTCTTTGAAAGAGCTCTATTATATTGTTGAGCTATATTTACTGAACAGTCTTTAAAATTTTAGTTTTCAGTTTTTCCCTGTTTATATTGCTGCTATGGCTATACAATAAAAAGATAAAAAGCTCTGAGAGTAATTACAGCACAAAGGTGTGAGTATTGTGAATAAAAAGGCAAGGAATGTGAGTTGAAAATTTATATAGGATTTTTTGAAAAACTATTCAACCTCATTACAATCAATGAAATTCAAACTAAAACAATGAGATGCCATTTTTTCTTATTTAATTACCAGAAATTAAGAAATACATATCCAATGTTTTGCTACTGCTCTGAGGGATATGCAGTATCTTTAGTGGGATTTTGATTGGTATATTCTTTCTGGAGGACTGTCTGGCTTTATTAAAATCAATTCCAGGTTTGGAAGTTATCTTAGGAAAATAATTTTATTATTGTGCAAAGTTGCAAATATGGTGTAAAAGAATGTTATAATGTGAGGGATTACTGGGGAAAAAGAAAGCTAAATGACTCTCAGAGGGGATTTAGTAAATTATATGTTCACACATTGGAATATTATTACATAGCCATTAAAATGGCTGTCATTCTACTGGAGATAAGCTCACAATTTTTAAAATACGTTTTATTGATTTCAGAGAGAGGAAAGGGGAGGGAGAGAGAGAGAGAAACATCAGTGATGAGAGTCATTGATTGGCTGCCTCCTGCATGCTCCTCACTGGGGAATCGAACCCGCAACCCAGGCATGTGCCCTGACTGGGAATTAAACCACAATCTCCTGCTTCATGTGTCATTGCTCAACCACTGAGCTATGCTGGCCGGGCTCACAATTTTTTTTTAAGTGAAGAGGGGGAAGGAATAACCTTAGTTTCAATCTGATTTTATTATATATTTATTTATTTTTATCCTCACTTGAGGATATATATATATTTTTTTTCTTTTTTCAGAGAGAGTGGAGGGGGGTGGAGAGAGAGAAATACCCATGTGTACAGTGATTGATTGCCTCCCACAAGGGCCTGGAGCCAGGTATTGAGCCTGTTACCAAGGTACGTGCCCTTGGCCGGAATCATACCTGGGATCCTTCAGTCTGCAGGCTGACGCTCTAACCACTGAGCCAAACCAGCTAGGATATGATTTTATTTTCTAAGTCAAAGTGTCTTTTAATATACAGAAAAAATGTGGTGAGCTAAATTTCACATATAATAGTGATTATATTTGCATGATGTGTTTATGTGTGAGCTGTATTTTCACTTTTATAGTTTTCTTAATTTTTCTTATGATTGTATGTTTCCTTTTTGGGTAAGGAAATTAAAGCTCTTTCATAAAATACATTTTTTTTTTTTTTTTTAAATTCTCACCCGAGGTATGTTTGTTTTGTTTTTGTTTTTATTAACTTTAGAGAGAGAGAGAAACATTGATCGCTTGCCTCCCGTATGTGCCACGACTGGGGATCGAACCTGAAACGTAGATATGTGCCCTGACCAGGAATCAGACCCGCAGTCTTTTGGTATATGGGATGATGCTCCAATCAACTGAGCCACTAGGCCAGGCAATACATTCATCCCTTTTGAATCAATGCTTCTGTTTTTTGCACTGTATCCTAAGTGATCAAAAAAGTGGTCAAATTATTCTCAAGAAAGTACCCTTCTCTCAGTTTTTCCCATATCATTATATGGCACCTCTCTCAACCGAGCTATCTAAGCTAGAAGGTTGGTATTATCCTTGACTCCTCTCTTTCACTTACTCTGTAAACTCTGTTAATATGTGAAGATGCCTGTTATCCCTACCTCCAAAACAACCCAAATGTGCCCTCCTCTACTACCATGCTGCTGCAACATCCTATCACCTCCATCCAGGAAGATTTTGGCAGTCTCCTAATTGGCTGCTCTGCATCTGCCTTTGTTCTCTTTTCCTCCCTCCCCCATTTACAGTCCATTTGTTACAAAACCATAGTTATCCTTCTTAAAACTATCATGTCCCTCCTAACCCTCAGTGATACTTAAAAGAAGTTCCAAATACCTTTCTATATCTTATAAAACCCCACATGATATGGCCCCTACCCACTGCTTTACCTTGTGGCACTCTTTCCTTGTTGCCTCTTGCTTAAGTTACACTGGACTTCTTTATGTTTTTTGAAGACACAAAACTTATTTCTGCCTTAGAACCTTTGCGTTAGCTATTGTTTCTGACTGGAATTATCTTTATACCCACATTTTTGCATGACCAGCTCTTGTTATTTGGATCTCATGTTTAATTTTATTTTCTCATCACTCAGTTTGAAATAGCTTGTTTACTCTTACTATACATCACCTTGTTTTTGTTTGTTTTCTTAAAGTTCTCATCACTTCTTAGTACTTCTTTATTTGTTTACTTGGTCATTGTTAGTATCCTACTACTAGATTGTAAACCAGATGAAAATCAGACTCTTGACTGGCACATTCCTTGTAATTGTGAGTCTTGACCTTTGCATGGTGCATAGTGGGCACTCAGTAAATATTTTTTGACTAAGTTAAAAAACCATACCAACATTGAATGAGTCTCAAAACAGAATTAGTTGATGAATTGTGTTTCAGAGAGCTTTTTAGGGACAGTATCTCTTTTACTTTTTTTTCATAGCCCCTTTTCAGTTTTGTCTTGAATTTATGTTGAGTACACAGTTGGTTGACTGGAAGATGAAGCTGGAGAACAACACATCCTGCTTTACACAGAAATGCCCTGCACCCTTCTGAGTTGAGCTTTGTTACTAGATCAGGCCTGGATCCTCCGCCTGGAAGATATTCCCTCTGAGTTCGTCAACTCACCTGTATATTGGCTTCTTCAGACCCTTCCCATCCAGGCATATCTTTATCCTGCTTCTTTCTCTTCCCCTTCTTTTCTATCCTAAGATTCCAAGGATATGTTTGTTTTGATCTTTGTATATTTTTGTGTCACTTTTCTTTAGTCTTAGTGCAAGGGAGACTTACATGTTTTGCTTATTTTAGGATGGGAGAGCTTGTTTGAAACCACGATTTCCAAAGAAGAATATCAGGAAGTAATGAATAAACTCATAGGTGATGATACTTTTGACTTCAAGTTGGGGAAAACCTACATAAGTGAAGACAAGCTAGAGAAGCAACAGGGTAAAAAGAATAAACCTTTCAGGAAAGTCTCAGTTACCATAACAAAAACCTATGCAAAAGAGAGGAGCTTTGTAGGTATTGAACTTGAGAAAAATCTTGGTCTAAAATCATCACTTATTAGGAAACCCAGAATTATTTCCAGAGGAAGGAAGCCCCATTCACAGCAGTATTCAGTTCTATTTAAACAACTGGGAGTCAATACAGTGCGAAAATGTTACAAATGTAACATCTGTGGGAAAATTTTCCTCCACAGTTCTTCTCTGAGTAAACATCAGAGAATCCACACTGGAGAGAAGCTCTATAAATGTAAGGAATGTAGGAAAGCTTTTAGCCAAAGCTCATCCCTAACTCAGCACCTGAGAGTTCATACTGGAGAGAAACCTTATATATGTAGTGACTGTGGAAAAGCATTCAGTTTCACTACATCTCTCATTGGACATCAGAGAATGCATACTGGAGAGAGACCTTATAAATGTAATGAATGTGGAAAAACATTTAAAGGTAGTTCATCTCTTAATAATCACCAGCGAATTCATACTGGAGAAAAGCCCTATAAGTGTAATGAATGCGGGAGAGCCTTTAGCCAGTGCTCATCTCTTATTCAACATCATAGAATTCATACTGGAGAGAAACCGTATGAATGTAGTCAGTGTGGAAAAGCCTTTACTTCAATATCACGTCTAAGTAGACACCATAGAATTCATACTGGAGAGAAACCTTTTAATTGTTATGAGTGTGGTAAAGTATTTAGTTATCACTCAGCTCTTATTATACATCAGAGAATTCACACAGGTGAGAAACCTTATGTATGTAAAGAATGTGGGAAAGCCTTCAGCCAAAGCTCTGCTCTCATACAACATCAAAGAATTCATACTGGAGAAAAGCCCTACAAATGTAATGAATGTGGAAAAGCTTTCTCCTGGATTTCACGGCTTAATATACACAATAGAATCCATACCGGAGAGAAACCATATAATTGTAAAGAATGTGGAAAAGCCTTCAGTTCCCACTCAGCAGTTAATACTCATCGAAAAATTCACACTGGAGAGAAACCTTATAAATGTAATGACTGTGAAAAGGCCTTCAACCAAAGCTCAGCTCTAATTCAGCACCAGAGAATTCATACTGGAGAGAAACCATTTAACTGTAAAGTGTGTGGGAAAGCCTTCAGGCAAAGTTCATCCCTTATGACACATATGAGAATTCATACAGGAGAAAAGCCTTATAAATGCAAAGAATGTGGAAAAGCTTTTAGTCAGAGCTCATCCCTTACTAATCATCAGAGGACTCATACTGGAGAAAAACTATAAGTATAATGCATGTGGAAAATCTTCCAACTGAAGTTCATTCCATACTGAATATCAGAGAATTCATCCTGGAGAGAAAATGATAAAAAGTACTTAAACTTCAGAATTTAGACCTCATCAAATATCAGAGACTTCATGGCGCAGGATAGCCTTCGGGATATTAAGAAAATACCTATGTTTTTTCCCCATATGTTCTTAAAGTTATTACTGAATATAAAAATAGAGAATTTGTAATATCAAAGGGTCAGTATGTTTTTTCTTTCTAGTGATGTATGATAATAGCCACAAGCTTTCACAAGCATCACTGGGAAGCATGTTGACATACATAAAAGTGCAGCCATAAAATCTAAATTCCAAATTAATCTGGGAGTCTATTTTTTGAAATTATATTAAAGTGTTATACAAGCAAGCTGCACTAAGAAGAATGTTTTGGGAAAGAAATGTAAGCAAGTGACCTGTAGCTACCTCACTGTCACTAAAACTTGTTTGTTTTTTTTATTTAAAAGCAAATTCTGTACTTGCTGGTTGTTACAACTTTTAGGTTGTTTCTCTTCTGCTTTCTAAGCCATCCACTTGAAAAATCACTTCATAACTTATGTAGGTATACAGTCCTGTGAGTTTTCTCCCTGAGTACTTTTTTCAAACTCGGAATCAGATCTAAAGGTACTTTATTTTAAATGACAAAATGCATGATATTTCACTTGTTTTTCTCATAAAGTGATTACATTTGCTGTATTAAGTTGAAGAAGGTTATTCAGACAACTACTACTTTTGCAAGTTAATTTACAACTCTTGGCCCCCCAGGCTGTGCCTGTTTCCTGAGCTCTGTAATCACCAGCCACTGGAACCCAGATTGTCCTCCCTAAAGGTAAAGTGAACAAGGTTACTTTTGCCCCCACCACATGGTGCTGATTACCTACGTTCTGCAGGCCACTAGACATAATCAGTCTCTCAGTTCAGATGCTTCTTTCTACAAAAATGGACTATTACTTCCTTCAACAAGTTAGTCTACTTGAGCATTTCTGAAATGTAAGTAATTTGAACAGTTATTTCACAAACCAGACTAAAATTGTTGAACTTTATAGAGGCCAACATCTAGTTTTGCCCACTTTATCAGGAGTAGGAAGCACTTAAGGACTGAAATATCCATTTGTTTAAAAAAACAAACCACAAACACACAGAAAAGATGCTATTAGAGGTGGAGTCTAAGCAAAACAAAAATCACTTTTTGTCTCCTGGGACTATTGAGTCTCATTGATTCAGACCTGGGAGGAACAAACTTTTCTGAGTCATGTAATGCTCCACCTGCAAGACCCCTTTTCCCACAACCATTCTTTTAAATTCTGTAATTCCTGGGGAAATTTCTAGGAAAATATAATGTCCCTGTCTTAGTCTGTTTGGGCTCCTATAACAAAATATCAAAGATTGGGTGACTTATAAACAAATTTTTCTCACTATTGAAGGCTACCAAATTAAAGATCAAGGCACTAGCATGGCTGTATTCTGGTGGAGGCCCTCTACCAGCTTTAAAGGTGGGGCCTCTTAAAAAGGACACTAATCACATTAATGAGGGCTCCACCCTCATGACAATCACCTCCCAAAGGTTCCATTTTCTAATGTCATTGCCTTTGGAGTTAGGATTTTAACATACAGGTTTTGAGTGGACACAGACTTTTAGACCCAAGCATTTCTCAAGTATTGATTGATAGTCCTAAAATCAGATGAAAAAACATACCAAAAAACTGAATATATATTAGATATCTCTAATATATATCCAATATATACTAGATATATTAGATATGTCTAATATATATCTAATATAATCCAGTACTGAAGCCAGACAGGGAAGCTCAAGGAAGGAAAATTGCAGGCCAATATCATCCATGAACAGAAATGTAAAAATCTCAAAGCATTAGCAAATGTAACCCCAAAGTTCCTAAACATAGTTTAATACATCATGTAAATGTAGGTTTTTAAAAAAATGGGAATTCATGGTTTACTTAATATTTTAAAACTTACAGATGCTGTGCACCACCTTAACAGGTTAAAGGAGAGAAATCTGTGTGCCTATATCATCAAATACAGAAAAAGTGACCAAAATTCTCACCAGTCATGTTAAAACTTAAGCAGCAGTAGAAAGGAACTTTCTTAACCCTGAATGAGCGGAACATCACGTTTAAGATGGAATGACCTCAGAGGTTGTACCCAAGGGCCATTCCAAGGTCAACATTGTGCAGGCCACTGCTGAATTTCAATGTGTCTCATTAATAAAACTGTAACACCTCTCTTCTGTCTACACTTGCTCTTTCCATTCATCTCCCTAGATCACCAGAGGAAGAGACTGGTGGTTCCTGTCACAAGTAAGGAAACAGGAAACCAAAATATGTGTATCCTAAGAGAACTAGACAAAGAAGTAAAAATTAAGTTGTCAACATATTTTCTATGCCTAATTTAACTTATTTTCAAAGAGCTGTTCAAAATCTAGGCAAAAGAGGAAGATTTACATTTTCATACTTGTTAATAGGCCATTTTCAAAGCAACCTGAAAAAGGAAAATGTGCTTTAACTTTTATTATAATATGGTCTATGTGCCTGATATATTTATAGTATTTCAAAGTCATTAGGTTATTTTGAAATGTCCATTTATCTTTTCAGGTGGTTTGGACTCATCTCATTGGCTGTTGCATTATTAAATAGATGTTTTCTCATAAAGAGATCTGTGAAATGAATGGGCTGTTTTTTCTATATTGCCCCTCCACTGGTTTGTCAGATGTTTCCTCATTATTAGGTTTATGCTATGCTTTTTAGGTAAGAAAACCATTGAATAACATTGTATTCTCAGTTCATTATGAAACTGGACACACGGGGTCCGAGGCACCTGTCACTACTTGAGCCAAATTAAGCAGAGACAGGGTTGAATCATGTGAGCACTTATTCTATTATTGCTGGCAAAAATGGGAGAGCAATCGATCACCCTGAAAATTCTGCTCTGATTCCACTTGCCAATTGGTTGATTATATACCAGTGAGGGAGAAGATAACTATATGCAGCTTTGAGCTACAAGTGTAACAGAGAAAGGGGAGGGGAGGGTCTGCAGTCTGGCCTTCAGGAGCGCAAAGTCCAATAACCAGGTGGCTAATCTATGATGTTACAAACAGCTCAGTCCATTCCTGGGACCAAAGAATGGTCAGTGTCCCCGAGGCAAACTCCTGGAGGGGGTCAGGGTCCAGGCACAGCAACCAAATCAAAGCATGTCCTGTCCTTGGTCTGTTCTCAAAGTGTATTTCTTTTCTGAGTAAGGGACCCACTGAGGCATCTTATCTTTTTACAGCCTTGTTTCCTCCTCCAGTTTCCCAGGGTCTGTAAGAAAACTTCTCTATAGTTAGTAGGGTGAATAATTATTGAACATCTGTGTCTCTAAGGTGCCCTGTCCCACTATCAATTATATTAGCACATTACAAGGTTTGTCCTGTTCACTTATCCCATTGCTGCTCATTTTAACTTTGCTCTTTTGGTTAAGATCTGCCTGGTTACCCACTGTATACTTACCATTTTTCTCTTTGTAATCATTAGTATCTTGAGAAGAAATCCTCTGAATGTATGCATGTAGTTTTACTCGTCTGGGGCAAGAGAACAATTCCCCCTTCCCTCTAGTTCTTTTGGTTGTCTGAATAATCATACCTACATGAGACAGATTAACAAGATAAAATCAAATTCAATTTTATGTGCATGAAACCCCACATACATGAGAAAGTCAGAGATGCTGCATACATGAGAGATTCAGAGACAGGGAAAATGAGGTATATATGGCATTCTGAGCTAAGGATGAGGCTTTGGGGGCTTCAGAGGGGAAAAAGGTCTTTGCAGGACAATAAGAGCAGATGCTCAGTAATTAGTATCTTGCTCTGCCATATAGATAGGTAAAAAAAGTTATGTCTGTTTTTTGTTGTTGTTTTTTTTTTTTTTTTTACTATGGGCAGGAACCCGAATTTAAATTCTTCTAGGTAGTTAAGGGGGAGGAGGCTGATGTTTCTCTTGAGCCCACAGGGTCTCCATTGTCTTTAGATCAAAATAACCCACATATCACTTGCTTTAATCAGTTTTCATTATAATGGTTTAATCAATTATAATGGTGAGCAAGCCTGTCCAATTGTTCTTATGCATCTAGGATAACATACCTTTGAAACATCAGAGTAATTTTCTTTTCCAGACCTCTTGGAGGCACAACTAGATCAGTGACCAAGAAACTCCTCACATACCATCTCTGTTAGGATTTGGTCAGTGACCTGGGCTGTGAAATAATTCACAACTAAGAGAAGAAATGCAGAGAGGAAATTTATTTTACTTTCCAAGGGAGGAAAGGGCCCGTGTACTGCTAGTCAAAACACAGTGGGAAAGAAAGAGTGGCTTGCATTTAAAAAATATATATTACATATATATTCTTATTGATTTCAGGGAGAGGAAGAGGGAGGGAGAGAGAGATAGAAGCATCAATGATGAGAGAGAGTCATAGGCCCTCTGCCTCTTGCACACCCCTTGCTGGGGGTCAATCCTGTAACCAGGGCATGTGCCCTGACCAGGAATTGAACCCGCAATCTCCAGGATCCTAGGTCGATGCTCAACGACTGCGTGGGGCTTGCATTTTTAAAGAGCAAGCAGTTGCTGTTGCTAAGTGACGAGGAAGGGATGGGGATTGTGTTGAAGTTGACCAGATTTTTTTTTGGGGGGGGGGCGGGGGGAATTGTCTTGAAAAGTTAGTTTGTTTGCTTTCCATGAGACAGTCTGGCAGATGCCCTAGGGAAGTGTCTTATTATTTTTCCTAAGCCTATAATACATACTTAGAGCAAAAGTTATGAGGAGTTCAAAAGAGGCTTGTTTGAAGGGGAGGTGGAAGGGAACTCACTATTAACTAGAGAGTCCTTGGTGCAAATTATCCCTGAGTTGTTAAAACAGCAGGGTGGAGGGGAATGCAAGAATATAATCTTGAGAATATAGTCTTATCTC